CATAAAGGATTTGGATCATGAGGTATAAAATATATCCTACGTGAAAAAATAAAATAAAATTTCCAAATTGTAGAAGTCTCTCCTTTCAAGTGTGGCAATTACAGATCGTACGGATCTGTATAGATTATATTTTTTTTTGTACAACAGCCCTTGATTAATTATTAGGTTTTTTTAAAGAGCGATTACACTGAAGAATGTGTTTTTATTTAGACTAGGTTTAGTTTGTATTTGTTTTTCACTACCTGGTCATTTAAATGAGTTCATTTCAATTATCGCTAAATGCCATGCCCACTGAAGAACAGTACCTGAATGCAGTTAACGCTACGACACCTAAAGCTGTTTCCTCTATAAAAACGACAGCTGGGAGGGCTGCAGGGAAACTCTGCTCGGCAATAAGGCTGCATTTAAAAGAATTAAATTGTCAAATTCTCTAGGCTCATGGGTTTAATTAAAGTCAGTGGACAATTTCAGGGACAAAAGAAATAAGTACAGCAGTGAGAAATACTAATAAATACATTAGAAATGGTTAAAAACAGTTGAACAGAAAGTAAGTGCATTTGCTGGCAGATATTGTCTAAGGGAATTATACAAAATAGCCGTGACACGGCACTGTGGAAAACACGGTGAAGTGACTAAGATTATTGGAACTCAGCACTTGCTAAGAACTGGGAGAACAAATACACCAGATCTGCACATCCTCTCTTTTGCTTTCCACTCAAGATTTCCCAAAGTTTCAGCTGTTTTGATATCATAGAAACCTTAAAACTTGTAAAATTTTACATATCTGAACTAATAATTTAGCTTGAGTGCAGGTATATATGGAAAAAAGATCCAGGGTTATTTTGGCCTCCTAGGATCTCAGCTCAGAAGTTCTCAGCATTTGGTCTGGTAGATTGATCCGTAAAATAAACTGGTCACAAGTAAACCTGGACTAGAAAGTGATGGGTCTTACTTATTCAAGAACAAAATTCTGGTAAAACCTTGTAAATGTGGTCATGGGAGCAAGAAACGTAGGAAGCAAGACATACTTACTGACAGGATTGTAAATTAAATTAAGAGAACTCCTGAAACCAGTAAATTAATTCTGTGGTGTGATTCCTAGAGAATCCAATCCTCAAGCATAGGCAAAGTGTTTTGAGAGCCAACTGGATTGCTGGGTGCCTGCACTATACTTGGATTAACTTCATGGTTCAAGACTCTAACTTACGTGGACTAGAAAGGAATTTTCTTTTGCTTCCTGAGTCTATCATTTGGCTTCTGGAAATGGGATGACACAAAACCCAGGATGTAAACAGAGTACAGCTGTGTTTCTAGTGACGTAAAATTCTCAGATGAATGGTGTCCTGCTCACACACGAAGGATTAAGCCATTCATCAGATTTAGGATCAGGAGGACATCTGTCCTCCAAGTCAGATTAGCAGGGATCAGAGGGGTTTTATTTGCCCCAACAGTAATTTAGGGCATGGTAATTTAGCTTCTTGGGATCACACAGGAGTTAATTTTGTAAATATTTTGCTAGCACACAGACCTGAAAGACTAGTCATGTCCTCCACTCTTCTGCATTCTGCCTATGACAATTTACAGGTGCAGCTTTCAGACTTTTACTAAATCTTAAATTTCTCTGAAGCGTTCAAAATTACGATGTCTGGTGACATAGGGCGATCTATGGACTCCTCTGAGTCCATAGTACTACAGTACCTACTGTATATGGTTGCAAGAAAGAGATGATTCAGTTACCCAGATGCTGCCTGCTGATCCTGCATTCCTACTCACCTACGCGTACATACATCAAGTGCAGTGTGATCATACACACTCTTTGTTATGCCAGGCGACACGGTATTTGATAGACTTCTAAAACAGTAGGTCACAACTGAGATCTGTGAGGCTGTATCATGTGCTCTGCACCCGATTCACAAAACCTATAGAATAATAGCATTTACCAGTTTGTCAGTTCTATGTGGTCACAGTGGTGTCCATAAGAGTGAGGGCTGACAGTGGTCCATAGGTTCAAAGTTTGGAAAGCACTAGTACTCAGTTTCTACTTTCATATGTCAAAGTTACCCTGCTCATAAGGGGCAACTGCATGTGTACTCTGAAGATGTGTACTTGTACAGCTTCAGCCTTCACCCCAGTATCCCTGGGATACTGGGTCACCTTTAGTAACATGCCCTGTATCTCACAGCTCGGGTGAGTGGTATAGGTATTTCAGCCCTTAGCCTGGTGGCTTTACTCCAGGACGGGTGTCAAATTGCCACATTCCTCCCATACGTCCTGTACCCCAGCTACCATCCCTCTGACTGAAACCTGCTTCTTCTGGTGACAAATACATTCTCAAACATTCAGCCGAGAACCGAAGGGTTCACCAGCAAGAAATGAATTACACTATTCAGTACTAACTAAGATCCTAAGTGTACTAATCTTAAATAAGAGCTCAGCAGAGTGGGCTAGTGTGTCATAAGCACATTCAATATCAGTGGCACACATGCAGAGAAGCATTCTTGTAGATGGCAAATTTCATCCCCACAATTGCTAAATACTCATAATTCCTTTGTAGGATCATGAATGAATTTGAAGAGATCCTGGATGTGTTCTCATCTTTGTCCTTATCTATTTCTGAGATCTCATAACACTTCTGTGGATTGACAGCGATTCCCCTGCTATAGGTGTTGTGAAAGATACCTGTAAACCTCTCCTAAGTACCTAGCCAAAGCCGTGTCGTACAGCGTGCCAGAGATCAGAGAGTACCAGAGTATGAGGTATTTGAGAACCTCTTGTATTAAACCACGTTGCCCTGCAGAGTTCCTGAGCAGTGCTGTTACCTGTAGGTGAGCTGCTGCAACTTCTTACTCTCTTGGTTCACACCTGTTGTTTCTAGCACGCACAGCACTCCTGTCAGCTAAGCACAGAGATGTCCAAGGTACAGGAAGTACTAACAAGTCACCTTATAAATCAGACCCTGCAGGAAAACTTCCCACAACATACACATCGTGAATTCCAAGACTATTTACATGTCAACAGTAACACTATTGTATAATAGATACAACAGCATGAGCACAGACAGGTTTTCCTTCTGGTAGAGGAGATAAAAAGAAACGGCACACAATCCAATGTAGAAAAGATGGGTTTTGAGCCCATTTTCTGTACCAACTGTTTTTCATTAAAAATTTGAAGGCAGCTCAACTTCAACTGGAGAGCAAAGCAGTGTGAATCATTATGGAAATGTTTTTATAATGTAGAGCTATTTATTCTTTGATTTAGATTTAGCATTAGTGACTGATTTATAGTGTTTTTACATTTACTGTTATAACATTTTGCTTAATTCAGGTTGTTCTGTTAAGAATCAGCTAGGACACTGATGATGACTTTGAGGAAAATAAGTCACCAAACCAACAAATGCAATTTGTTTAAGCTCACTGTGTAAAAGATTTTTATGGTATAAACTGCATAAACAAGGTCAAACCTTGAATTAGTAAATATATTTTTCAAATAAAAAAAAAACCCAAAAACCAAACAACCTCTCACTCCTGAAATTATAATATTAGCTCTTAAAAGGAAAAAGACAACCAAATGAGATTTTCTTTTGTAGGTTTTCAAGTTCAAATCCAGCCTGGGTAGATATTGAAATGGTTGTCATCTCATGGGTATCTGGTGTTCTCCCCTATATCAGTTCTCTAGATCTCATTTCAAACTCACCACAGTCCTTTGCACTAAATGACAGGATGTACATGAAACAAAAAAACCCATATTGGTCCTGAAAGGACCACTACTTCTGTTACCCTCAAAAGACAGGATTGTTCCTCCTTTGGCTGTTGGTAAGCATCTCTCCACCATCTAGTTAATCCAGGCTCTCATTCAAGCATCTGTTATCCACAAAGATAACCCACTCACCAGAGTTACAAGCAATTTCTAAACCCAGACTGACTTTTACAGGTTAGACCTTAGTGGCAGCTGTTAACTCAGACTTGCAGAGGAATAACATACAATGAGAATGAAAGGGAACTGGAGAGGGTGAGGGGGAGAAATCACTTTAGTGTCCCTGGTCCTCCCCAGTCTTCTGCAATACTTAAGGGATGAGGAGGTGAAAAAATGTAGCTTCTTTCTGCATATGAGGCAGATTTCTATCAGATGGGTAAGAAGAGAAAAGCAGCTTTTTCTAACTGACATTCCCATCACATCCAACTGTGATAGTCAAGAAGGACGATTTAAGCAGTTGTATTTTCTGTTGCTCAGAAACCTATGACAAAAAATCAAGGAGGTCAGAGAAAATAGGATTTCATTAATCAAGGTGAGCAAAGAGAAGGGCCTTGAATGAAAGTTGCAGCTCTCTGAATAGAATGAAGAAGCCTCCTTCTCATGGTAGTGGGGCTGAGTCACATTAAGATTTAGAACCAGTCTATATGGCAAGGACCGGAAAAAGAAGATCTGGAGGCAATTTGCAGACTACAAGCTTCAGTGACAAAAGGTTAGTGATACTGGGAAAATCGAGTAAACTGCCTATCCATGTACAGCTTCTATTTGATGCTCTGAATCTATTTCAAACTTTGATAATCAGCAAGTCAGCGTGGACTAGAACTACTTTGTGGTGGAAATTCGATGATGGTGGGAAGGGCAAAGCTGAGGCATCAGCTGAAATGGCCCTACTGTAACAGGCCACGGGTGATAATCAGCTTTAGTCACTGACCTTGAATGATCACCTGCAGCATTCTCACTCAAGATTCAGAACCCACAGAATTTCAGAAAATTAAGAAAAATATGCAAATTAGTTTAAAAGAAAGTCTGTACAACAAAGGGCTTGGCACCTGAAGGGGTAAGAGACTCAGCGAAGAGAAATGGAGTCAGGACATTCTGTCCTCTCTGAAAACATTGGCTAGAACTTAGAAGACCTTCAAGAATGGGAAGGATTTCAAGGCAGGGAATTCTGTTCAGGTGAGTGTTATTTGACACATCAGCAATTTTCACATACTCTCTGAATGACAGACATCTATTTGTCTTGCACGTACCTGAGCAGAGCTGAACAGAAAGCAGACATCAGTGTCCCCTTCCCTGCCATTCCCAGAAGACAGTGCTTGCGAAGGTGAAACTAGAGATGATGCTTGGATGCTGCCAAAACTCACTTTTAGTTTAGAAGCAAAGAGGTTCAGCTGAGGCTGGGCCTACTGGAGCTGAGAAAGAAAAAGGGACAAAGGACTGAGGAAAAAACACCTATAAATTTTCAATTTACTAACCTACTCTCACTGCTACAAAACCAAGGGTTTATCTTGTAAAATAGTGACATGAAAGAAAGGCTGTAAGTTGCTGCTAAATGAAATGCAGATAATATCGTTGCAAGTAGGCAAAATGTGTTCTTGTATCTCCATTAACTTGCTCTGTTCCAAATTGCCTACAACAGGTGGCAGAGTCTGGATGCGATGTATTTTGTACCTTGCAACAGCTGTGAACAGGGTACACACTGAAACGTTAAAGAGACATTACTTGTCACAACTGTCTCACATGACCAAGAGCAGTTCCAGAATTCAAAATATTTCCTTGTTCTTAAGTTAAATTGGGCCACTGTGATATTCATTCTGCAATTTAATACTCAAAGGCTTTGAGAGATAAACAGATAGAAAGAAATGGGATTAGAAACCTGCAACATTTTTCAAATTTTGATAGGTTTTTACACGATATTAGCATAAGATCAGGTAAAGTGTTTTTTTAATAATTGTATTACAGACTTCATGGGGTAGTTCTGTCAGCTTTAGCTACGATGATTTACATTTGTTGACTATCTCTCTCTATACACACCCTATGTAGTTCCATACTTACAGCTTCCTCAAAACCAAATTATAATGACCAAATTGGAAATCTAGCTAAAAGGTCTGTTAACTGACTTTCAAAGTAGAAGCCAAAGCAGCTGAGTAACACTAGATTAGAGCAGGTAAAACTCTGTTTCTAAATAATCAGGGGAAACCAAAGGGAGAGAGAGTTTGAGTGAATGAATTAGATAATCAGTGAGCTTCATTTACAGGTCTTCACAGAAACATCTCTCTTTATGCAACTTGAATATAATATATACCTTTTCTGAGATTAATGCTGAAGGCTACCCAAGAAATGCACCAGTTCCTTATCGTCATCAGGAAACAATACAATATATATGGTTTTATAAAGACCATAAATACACATTACAGTAACTCCCTTCTTTGTCTATATCAAGCTCTTTGAAATGCAAAGATCCAAAACCAGAAGAGCTTGGGGGTTTTGTGTGCTCTTTTTTTTTCTTTTTAAATAAGAGTTCTAAAGCTGTTTTTCATTATTGGCAATGAAATTGTAATAATTGATACATACTTTCAAGAATATAAAGTTAATTTTAAATATGGAACTATGTATATATACAACATAGTTTATCTGCCTTCTAAATTAGAAGTAAGTCTGGGCAATAGTCCTGGTACCATTAATGTTAAATATAACAACTGTTTTCAGAGATTAAACATCCTATAACTTGATGGATGTTATACAGTTATTATATTATGTGTATATAAGATGCATCATATCATGTTCTGTGCATAAAAGATCAATGGATGTTTCTATTTTAAACATCATTTTGAAGGCGATTATAATTCACATTTTAATTAAATCCACCTTAAGTCGGAAATGTTTATTCACTGACCAGAAAATCAATCTCTTAAAAAAAATTCTGTGGATTCAAGTTTTGCTTCTACCACCATTTATTTTCCTACTTCAGCCTAGTATTAAAATTAAATAGATTTTTTAAAGCCCTAAAGGCAAAAATAAATTTACAGATACATCAACATTTTTGTATACATAGCTCCCATCTGTACATACACTTATTACTTCTTCATTGATACCGCATTTCTACCCTTCAAAATGATACTTTATAACTTTTCCGCACCAAAATATGAGTATGACTCTTGCCAGCTGTAGCACAGTGACAGCCAGACAGAATCAGTGGCAAGGACACTGAACAAGAAAAGACTATGGGATAAATCATGGCCACGTGGTCTTCATGAAACTCAACCCGTCTAATTTTGAAGCATATTCCCTCAAATCAGAAGAAAAGCAGAACTGCCAGTAAGATCTGTTGGTTATTTCTCCATTTTATTTAAAGAACATGCTTATTTGCACAGTTTGCCTTTCTGCAGCCTACTTTGTTTGGGCAACTTTAGACTTCCAGCGTAAGTCAGGCTGCTGTACCCTCCGAGAGCGCACCAGCCCTGCTCAGTTTAGGAAGGCAGGCTCCAGACAGAGCCACGGTCCCTCTGGTCTTGCTGTCAGTATGGAAAGCAGTCAAGTCTGGATTTCAGGAGAGCCTGCAACTGTCTTATATTTATCAAAGTAACCAGGTTGACTACTGAGCTTCAACTCACAGCCTGTAGACCACACACAATCCACAATGGGCACGTGCCTGACCCACAGCTCACAGCATTTCAGTCTGACACACAACTGGTGGCTGTCCTTGGGCAGCATCTGTTCTCTTCACTGTGGAGGGATGCAAGCACAGCAATTCTGACACCACTGTCTCGTCATGTCTCTGTTTGCATCTGGACCTGGCTTCTGACCTACTCACAAGCACCCTGCTTAAGTACCCTCACCTGGGGAGAAGAGTCCATGCTCTCCCAGTTACCACAATGTGCTTTTCACAGGCTAAACAAGGGGAAGACCCTCAGTACAACTGTGAGAGAATATCATCACAGGCTTTTTCAGTTTGCAATGAAAGTGGAAGCAGAATGGTGGTAATGGCAGATAACAGGCTACAGATTATTTGTTTTGATCCTATGTACTTCTACTTTATTTCATATACGGTCCAGTTAACAAGGCACTTGAAGAGTCTTGATGTGCAAATGGCCTTAAACGCCAGTACTTGCTCTTTTCCAGACTAATCAAGCTCCTCACTGACATGCTCCCATCACCTCTGCTGCAAAAGAGGACTAATTTCAGAATCAGTGAAATGGCACTTTGAAGAGACCTTCAAAGTAGCCTTGTTGATTTACTGGTTGGACTCAGATCTCAAGGCTCCTCCAATTTGTTAGCTTTTCTTCAAAGCACTTATGTTGCATTTACTAAATTGTTTCATTTATGTGTTTATGATAAACTATTAAAACATCAAAGTAGAGATTCCATTAAAATGACACATTAGATTCAATCAATACCTATGAATAACATTTCATCAATAGCTTTGCACCAGGCTACCTTTAAAAAAAAACCAGTATCCAGACATTCACAAATCCCGCGTATTAGCACAGGATTGGACCACTTTAACTCTTGCTTACAGGTCACTGGATCAGCTCTCTCCGTTTTGTATTGCAATTGCAGAAAATAGCTGCCCAGGCATCTGGCCTTTCCCAGTGGAGGAAGACAGGACGTTCCTCCCCACCATGCTGGTTGCAAGGAGAGCTTCAGCACAGCAGGGTGCTCCAGGAGGCACTCTGCAGAGGCGCTGTGGGCACCACAGCTGTGTCAGGACATGGAAGCAGATTTGTGATCCTCATTTAGTGCCCTATCAAGATGTAGGGCCCCTTTCCTTTCACAAATCCCCTGTATTGAGGTTACCAAGAAATGAGTCATACAGAGCTCTTCTCATACCATCACTATGGAGTTCTCAGGGTCAGCTCCTTGAGCCTACATATTCTTCTAGTATAACTTGAGAGTACTGAAGATGTTATTAGCCCATAAAATGCTGAAAGCTAGCTACCTTGGAAAGTGATCATGCTTAGCATCTTGAATCTTTAGAACCCCTGTGCCTCAGTTCTTCAGCCACAAAATGAGGATAAAAGATATTTCATCGGAATGTGAAAATCAGAAGTGTGCGGTATCCTACTTACAAGGTAACAGAGATAATAAACATTCCCTGGAATACTGCATGAAAAGATAATCTTGGCAAATAAAATGCTTTGGTTTAGCACTCCCTGGCTACTCACAAATTAAGCGTTCACTGAGAAAATTGCAAAAGGTATAAAGGTCAAGAGAATCAAAGTTTTAACAGGCCTGATAATATTTACTTCACCCTTCTACTACCCTAGCTGGGTGGCCCCCTTAGGACACTGGCTGATGTTATATATGGTAAAACATGCCCTGTAGGACAGTGGGTGGAATTATGGATTAGAGTATCAGCTTCTGAATTCTCTATTGTTAATGGGTTTAAATCTGAACTCTATTGTTAGGTTGTTTCAGGGTGGATTTTTCTGTGTCTAATTTCTGAACCATTACGCACACGTACATTCTTCTAAAACTGCCAGGTAACTTGGTTCGCTTGTGGAACTGAAATGTAACCTTTAATTTTACAGCCTATACTTCAGGAAATTATGCGTTTGAGCAGCTGAGACTTTTGGAAGGTGGGAGTGGTACACCAACCACATAAGAAGTGGAAAACCACAAGAGAATTCTTTGTGCTGTGAATAATGAGTCAGGAATACAGTTATGGGAAGCACATATCCCACTCTTTCATCAACGTGCAGACTCTTTCCTAAAGCTATTCTCATCCTCTGCAGCCACTGGTAAAATGCACAGACATAACCTCAGATCCAGTATAAACAAATGAAATGTAAATGTCAGTGTGGTTGTAGCTACCTCCCCTAGAGCTGATTTTGCCACAGGATTAGACTGAATGTAAATAATAGGGAAAAGTACAGCACTTTGAAAGAAACATGTCAATTTAAATTAAATAGGGCTTCTCATTTTATCTTACAAACCATGATCCAAGTAAGATTCTTTGGCTTACTGCCAGCAACCGGGCAACAGGCACTGAAGACCAACGAGTATTTGCCTTTTGTGACACTTGAAAATATCTTTGCATTAATTCACAGCTCACTATTTGCAACCCAGCTCAACATCAGCCCACTGCTGAGCTCTCACTGCCAGTCCCTTTGGTGTCTGGGATACCTTGCTAAACAGAGCATCCCCAGAAGCAAATCTCCCTGGGAGCAAGGTCACATAGGCAAGTAGATACAGGATGACTGCCAGCCTCCTACGCACTAGGGATACTTTATACAGTCCGTGTAAGTATGTAGATAGACACTCTCCCCCTCCCCAAACACCACACCCTGGAACAGCTGAAAGAACAGGCCTTAAGTCTGCTGTAACTTGTCCGGCATGTTCGGTTTTGTAGCCTCCGTTTGACTCA